ATCTTTAAAAATTAAGTAATTGTATTATGCAAGTAATTTTTGTTATACCCCGAAAATTAGGGAAGGGTATCCGTAAGAAAAGACCACGTGAAACTGTGGCAATACTCCAATGAGAAGATTCAATTTTAATTTTGAAAATTTAAATGAAATACATCAAATATCTATGCAAATATGTATGTATGTATCAAACAAATTGAAACAGAATCAGTAGTTTCAACATCAAAGTTATTTGAGCTTGTTTTTTAATCTGCAAGATCTGGTTGAAATTCAAAAATTTCAATCGTTTTGAAACATTCTAATCCTGCTTGAAATTGTTTTTAAATTCCACCACCAACCATAACACGTGCGTGTTATTCAATAAAAAGCAAAAAATTTGGACAGCCAGATACGATGTGCAAAGTTTAAAATAAGTCTGGTCAAAATCGAAATAACAACTGCATAAAAACGTGACTGCCTGTGCATATATATGCTCGGAAATATTACCGAAGTATTTCGTTATGCTTATTTTTTGTGGTGAACAAATTAAAATTGGTCCCATGTAAATCTTACATTTACAAATGAAAGACCTGCATTGTAAGTTTTACTTATGCAAATATATTTTTATGACAATAGAAAATTTCTGACTCTCCTCTCTTTCTTAACCGCTCTAGTATTTTTTTAGAATACTGTTTCCCTTCAGTATGTATGATGCTGATTTCATACTTACACCTGATAGAAACCAATTAAAATTTCAACAAGTTTTCAATTTTTGAATTTTTTACGAAAAATTCACTTTTTGAGATTTTAGAAACAGTTTAGAAACACTTTCCAGTATATGGTAAATTTGGAAAAAAATACACGCTTTTTACCAGTTTATAAGTTTTCCGAAAAATACCAAGGAAATACTTTGTAAAGAAATTTTAGTGTAGGGGAATTTATACAGAACGCAGATTTGTGTTTCGTCGTCAACGGAAAATCCAATACTGCGCAAATGTGTGTGATCTGGTAGCCAAGGGGCTGTTTACAACTTTTCTCATAACAAGGGCAGCGAAAATCATCATAAAATGAGGTTTCTCCATTTGCAGAGAACATTTCAAAAAAATTGTAGGGAGAACACTTTTATAAGTGGTGGGGAGAACACTTCGAAATTCTTGTAAGAAATTCCAGGCATGGAGAACACTTTACAAGTGGTGGGGAGAACACTTCGAAATTCTTGTAAGAAATTCCAGGCATGGCAATCACACGCGCTGTTATGTCTGCCTCGTATGGAAACAAGATTGGTATCAATACGAGGCTAACGATTAAATGGAGTGGCTTAAACTTGGCTTAAACTCACAGATTGGCGAAAGAAGATGCAAACCACGCTGAAAAAGGGATACGCATCCGTTCGCGAGACCTATTTTTTTGTGGTGAGGGCACAGAAAAAATACGCAACGAGTAAACGAATCCATGTTGCAGTGTCAAACGGGCGGAACAGCATGGCAGAAAAAGCGGACGGAGTGTAGGGATCGGGATCATTTTCGCAATACAAAATATGCAAGGCTTCCTCCCTTATTTTTAGGTAATCAAAGGGTTCATATTGCTGGGTCGCGTGTTCAGGCCAAACCCATAGGAGAACATTTTTGGGGTGTAAATCGTAGAAAGGGGGACGCCCCCTAGTTGCTTATAAATGCTCTTTTTGAGCCAACTGATAATCTGGAACGAATATTGGGGTAAAGTTGAGTGATTTCTGTAGTTCGAGGAGAACAATAAACTGTGGACCAATTAAACTTGGTGATTTATATAGCTTAGGCAGAGTTGAAGGACTCATTTTGGTGGTCAGATACAAGTATCGGTCATCATTGTTCGGTTCAAAAACCCAAATGCCGGTAAGCTTGAAGTTTCCGTTGGGTGGAATCGTTTCTAAAAAAAAAGGTGGAAAATTTAGAATAGGAAAATATCTTATATTAATGGTTACGAGCTAGATAGAAATTTACTTTTGAAAGGGTTGTACTCTAGTACATATGCTGGTCGCCGCTGAAACGCTCTTAACCTTGTTGCCAGCGTTCTATCGTAGTCAACATTTAGCACAAAAATGTCGCGAATATTATCAATTGAACGGCGCCAATTTTTGCTAGAAATTACACCCGGAATGAGCCAACCATCGGGTATAATATATAACAATGTTTTGGCACTTTCTGCCCCATAAACTTCGGGAAAAAAAAGTGAAGAAGAATGCTTAACAATTACAACGTGCACCTTGCATTGATCCGATCGTCTGGAAATTAAGTTTGACATGTCAAGTTCCGTTGTCCTTGTTTCTATGATATCTTCCAAAACAATTGGAAATTTGGGTGTTGCACTCTCAAAAAAGAATTTATCCAGGTTAAATCGATTCGAAGTATTGCGGTCACGACCAATAATGGAATATTTCCAGGTGCACCTTTTTCGTGGCTGGGTAATGACTACGGGCAATTTCAAACTGGAAATTATAATAATAAACAAAAATTAAAGACATATGACAAGGCTTCTGTCTAGCATGTTGATAAAAAGCTCAAATCAAATATCAAATATTTCTATTTGTGGCATTAAACAAAACCGATTCCAAGAAGTTTTTGACTGGGATTAGATGTCTGCAAGAGCAATGTCAAAACAAAGTTAAAACGCGACATGGAGAAATTACTTATGCAGGAAAAACTATTAGAAAACATGGCCATATTTATCCGCTTAGATTAACATACGCCACGTGTCAAAATAAATTGATGTTATATTACCATTTGCTTGAATTCATATGCATTCCTTGGTTCATCCGTTTCCTGTCACGACAACGTTTTAGCGAAATATCTCATTAAACGTTTTACTTTTGTTTGGCGAGGACATTTTTTAAGAAAATAGGTTACCAAACAGTCGATTTTTTTAATATCTAGTTAAACACCGGATGCAACTTAATCACCAGATGTGATGTGATAAGTAAGTAATATGTGGTGCGATATCAGTTTTGTTTAAATATATTCAAATTAAAAAAACAGGAAAAGTTAATCCGGATTTTTAAAACAAAATGCACCCACATTTTAAGATTTTACGAAAAGGCTTAAAATAAAAATGATTGGATAAGGGTGTTCACTATTACTAATAATGCAGATCTCCCAACGTATGCTCACAGATTTGGACCGAACTAGCGTCAATCGATCACAAATATGAATAGTATGAAATTTGCAAATGGCACTATATGCCAATACTCATGTTTAGCGGAGGTATTTGCATAGAAAAAGGAGAAAACGCACCCCAAGGCTGGATAATTTTTCATTTTCCAAATTTGCTGCCCATTTTTCCCGCTTTGGATGCAAATATCTCCGCCAAACCTGCGCATTGTCAGATAGTTCCATTTGCAAATTTCAGACTAATTATATTTGTAATGGATTGACGCTCGTTTGGTCCAAATCTCTGAGCATACGTTGGGAGACCTCCATTATCAGTTTTTCTGAAGTTTCTATGTTTTGTTTTTGATTGGAACTTGCGTAATCTCATACATTTCATGTACATGAAACTTTTTCATGGAACTTTTTTCAAGCTACACCGGCATCGACTAGCGAGTTATATCAAAAAATCAAGCCAAAAATTAGGAATCACGGGGCTTCTCATTTCGTTGAATGGCCTCTTTGAAGAAAAATATTGGGGGTCAAAGTACCCAAGAGTGCCTTGGGTTTTCGCCTCGTGGAGGAAATGGGAGGGAAAATCTAATAAAAATTTGAACTTCGCCTTTAAAACTTTATTTTTCTTCAAATGGGTCATTCAACGGAATTATAAACGCCACTACATAGATTCCTAATTTATGACTTGATTTTTTAATATAGCTCGTTAACCAATCCCGGTGTGACTTGAAAAAAGGTTCCATGGTAAGTAAAAATATGTATGTATGCACAAAATGTATTTGGTTAGCAAAGTTAACCCTTCTACAAACCTTTCACATTCTAAAATTGGAAGTGGGATTAAACTTTTCCAAATGGGCTAAGGGTCTCACATATGTACATATTTCGCTTTTTTGGAATGTAAGGGCAATTACCCCTTTCTTCTTTAGACAGGCGATTCAGACAGGCTTTTTTCAGGAAAATTGAACAATGCAAAGTAAATTCAAGGAATGTGAAATCTTTAAAGTTTGTTAACTTACGAAGGGACGTCCACATGTTACGTCGTCGAAATAGGTCTAATTTTTCACCAAAACCTTACCCCTTTCTTATCCTCCTCGCGTACATAAGGCTTGGCATGATTAGATAACCGAGGCGACCCTAAACCACCCACCCACCTGTTGAATAACGTAATACAGGGTGGTTTAACTGTCAGGTTAAATACAATGAAAAATTTGTCAGTGGGAAAAATTCGTAAATTTCCATTAGTTACGGATTTCGGATTGAGATTTTTATTAATTTGTATTAAAATTTATGGAACACTGATGACAAAATTCTTAAAATATTAAATTTCAAAGGCAAAATTTCGGTAACTAATGGAGATTTGAGAATTTTTCCTCTTGAAAAATTTTCCATTCGAACCTGACATTTAAACCACCCTGTATATGGTGGTTCCCCCACCAACCGCTTTACACATATTTTTAACCTCTACCCTCAGCAGCTTTCTTGGCGCCTGGCAGACGCCCTCTGCTTCAAAGCAATAAGAAAACGTCCATGCATATATTACGTCATCAAAAATGTGGATGGGTGGTTTGAGCTCTCCTATTGATGTAACTCGTGTTTAACTTAGCCAGTGGCCGCGGAACTGTAGGGACAGAGGGACAATGTCCCCACGGTTGTTTGATATCCGCATCATCTGCCCATAAACCCCTCCCTCCCCTATCCTACAATGTTAATGTCCCCACTACTTCCGCGGCCACTACATAAACTTAGCTTGAGTAGGATAGGGAACGTATGGGCCAGAAATCAGAGATTTTGAAGACGGAATATATGGACGTCCCCACAAATGGAAAAATTAGCCCTTTGTCGTACCAGTGTCCCTTACGCACTTTCCTACCTTACAGCCAGTAAGGTTCGCCTCGTCAAGAGCAACAGACGTCTTCTCTCAAGCCTACAATCCTTCACCAAGAATATAATTGGTAAGTTAATTTTTTTTAGACTTCTAAAAAGTCCAAAATACAACTGTGTTTCCAGAATACTTGATTATTTTGTCCCAGAATAAAATTGCATTTTCAAAATTCCTGACCTATTTCATGCCAAGATACCTAGAATTGTATTTTCAAAACTGGATTATTTTTCGTGTGCTAAAATAAAATTGTATTTTAAAATGCTAACCATGTAGATGCAAACCACGTTCAGCCCAGATCAGATTTTGATCACTTTCGTTTGAAAGGTTAAATCTTTAGACACAACATTTAAATACTTCGGCACTTGCTCAGGATAAAAAATTTCAGCAAATTATAAGTTCCGCGAGTTTGTGGGATCGCTTCAATTTTCAGCTTCTGCACTAGAGGTGAGATGGACGCGCGACTCAGTCGGGTTCAACCCGGCCCAACCAAACCCATCCGGATTTGGGCGGGTTGAACAAAAAAATTAAGGAGTCGGACGGGTTGTGTTGGGTCATTTTTAGGCCTTTGAATATGGCCTTATAGATTTACCCACATGTCTGTCTGTCCGTCCGTCTGTGCACGATAACTCTCTCTAAAAAAATCTATCGACTTGAAATTTTGCTTGCTTCATCTTCGGGTAAAAATTAAGGACGAGTTAGGAGACCGGCATCAGTCAAGTGGTTGGCCGCTGGGGGTCATTTCCACCCAATTGTGTTGCCATTAACTACCAAGATGACATTAATGCCATCTTAAAAGGCCCCGCAAAGTTGCTTAGAGTAGGTTTTTTCTGGTTTAGTCTGGTTTGGGCGGGGGGTTGAGAAAAAATATGCTAAACTTAGGTTGGGTAGGGTCGAACTGCAAACTGTCGGGTTGGCTTGCCTCGGGTTTGTTTAGTACCCAGGAAAGTCGGGACTGGGCGGGTCGGGTTTTCGAAAACCATGACCCATGTTCACCTATGTTCTGCAAAGAGTCAATTTGACGCACGCTTTCACCCTTTGATTACGTGCGTTCGGTTTATTTTTACACAACGATTTCTAATGAAAGTCGGTCTCCTTAACGATACACAACACAAAGTGGAGCAGTCAAACAGCACCACCTGGTAATTAGTTTTTATTTAGAAACGACGCATAATTTGCGAGAAAGTAGAAAATAAGTCGTCTATTAAGTCGTCCCTCATGACTTGTTAAAAACAGATTATGAAAATTTGGAATTTTACAGTTTATATTTTATGTTATAGATTTGGTAAATATTATAAGTTTCAGATGCCTTTCATCAATTTGGAATCCTCCGACGGGGAACGCGTCAAGGTAGACGCTGACGTCATAAAATGCTCGCAGACGATCAAAACTCTCATCGAAAACTTGGGGATGGAAGATAGCGACGATGACCGCGAAGTCGTCCCGCTGCAAAATGTCAGCACAGAAGTACTGCATAAGGTCATTGCATGGGCCGAGCATCACAAGGTATCCAATTTTACGGCCTAAAATTTTAAGTTTTCGGAAATACTTGTCATTGAAGCATGTCACTTAAAGCTACGATTTTAGTGGGAAACTACCTCTTAAAATCTATTTGCAATCAACAGGGTATGCTACCCCGGGTTTTGGTGGACTTTAGGGTAGCAAATTTGAGCAATACCCACGGGTAGTCGGGGTTTCAAATTTTACAAAATATAATAACAGGGCATTACTAGCAATTCTACAAATTAATTACTTATTAAAATATAATTAATAAGCAGTTTAGTTGCGAAATTACTAAGAAACTGATTTTTTTCAGTAATTTCTGAACTTAATACATGAGACACTGACTCAGTTTGCCCCCAAAACCCCGACTACCCCGACTACCCGCAAAATCCAAGTAAAACCCCGGGGTATGGGTTTTCAATAGCAAAACCCCGGGGTTTTCCTTATCCTGACGCAAATATTTACAAGTTGTAATTTTTGAAATTTGTATGGAAATCATATGTATCAAGGGATCTATTTAGTATGAAGGAATACTGGAAATTAAAGATGTTTGGAGGGACCGTTCCATCGTTTTTGGAGGCAAATTTTGAAATAATCTAAAAATATTCTAGATTATGAATTAGAATACGTGCTACATTGCAAATTTATTGGGTTATTAATACGTGCGCAGGATGATCTCCCGCCCATCGAGGATGACGAGGATCCACCTCGTGAACGTCGCACCGACGACATTACCACGTGGGATGCTAACTTCATCAAGATGGAACAAACCCAGTTGTTTGACCTGATTGTGGTAAGCTCTATGAGTGGTTTAAATGTCAGGTTTAAATGTCACAGAGTGGTTTAAATGTACGTTATTACGGAAAATTTTTCAACTGAAAACCCCCTAAATCTCCATTAGTTTCAAGGTTTTGGATTGTAATTTTATCATTATTATCAAAACCGATGGAACACTGATGACAAAATTCTTAAAATATTCAATTTCAGAGACAAAATTTCGACAACTAATGGAAATTTACGAATTTTTCTAATTGAAAAATTTTCCATTGTTGGGTGACATTTTAACCACCCTGTACATACATACATATACAATTATTGCAGAAATAAGTGTGAACAGACATATATTGATACTTGGTATGGTTTTTGACTGGAGGCTTATGATGTCAACCTACATAATCCTTATCATTTATGCCTAATGCTTAACTAAATTACCATTTTTTTTAGTAATTATCAAAAAAGTGGGCCCTCCATTTAGAAGTCAATGTTAAAATTTTTGATTTCCAATGCTATTTCTCATAAGGAAGTGCAACAATCCCCTACGATCCACCAGCATAACTTGAGGATAACCAATGTATTTTATTTTCTGTTTAATTAGGCTGCCAACTATCTCGACATTAGTGGCTTGCTGGACCTCGGGTGCAAAATTGTGGCGAACATGATCAAAGGCAAGACGGCCGAAGAGATTCGCACAATGTTCGACATCGAGAATGATCTGACGCCCGAGGACATGGAACAAATTCGCAAGGAGAACGAATGGTGTGAGGAAAAGTAGGAGATAAATTTCTAATGGGCTTGTCATAAGTTTCAAAGAAGAAGAAATTTCATGTAAGTTTGCAAAATACGTGAATCGTATCAGTTGTTTTCAGTAATAAATAAGTTTTTAAAAGGTTCGTGCGATGTTTTACCAAATTTGTATTTTTATTAAATCGTTAGATCCGACCATTCTAAGCGTGTTTTAATTTCTGAAATAAATCGTTACCAGATAGTATTTTTACATCGCGTAAAAAATTGTTGGTTATTCTCTAAACTACAAGTTCCAAATTTGTCATGTCTGGAATTTTGAAAAATTAGCATTCCACTTTCCATTTCTGAAATTTTGATTCTTGACTAAAAAACTTACTTAATGATAAGTACATACCAAATTAATCAAAAAAACAAGGTATTGATTTAAAAAAATGCATTTCAGAATAATTAACTCTTACGTGAAAAATAAGAAATTAGTTACTAATTACACCCATCTACAGAAGTACGCTTCTCTAAATCAAGTTTGACGAACCTTGTATTTTTTAAAAAGAGGTTTACGAACATAATTATCAAGAACTCTTGAATTACCTTGCTACATCAAAAGAACTGACTTAACTCGGATTTTTAAAATTTTTCCACAATTTTGAAATTATTAAATATTTTCCATAAACCAAAATATACCATATTCATATAATTTCACGATAATTTCATACATATGTATAATCAGCTTGATATAGCTCCAGCTCCAGCAGGAGAGAGCACGTCCCTTGTTTTGCTCTCGTAGAATATTTTTTCGTGTTAAAGTTTTAGAGGTTCCTGACCACCCCCACCTCTAGAAAGTTGATTGCCACTTCCCCATTAAGCCCTCTGGAGTAGTGATAGTGGAAGTTGGGGGATTTTGCTCGCCTTGGTGACCTTTTAGGCCTCGTCGGATTTAGTACTTTTTTGACTGGACTTACACCCCTATGTTCTCGAGTGGACTCTCTCTACTAGTCTTACCACGGAGGATACCACTACTCAGTAGTGGAGGAGTGTGGTCCCTGCACCCCCAGGGCACGACGCGGAGTTCTGAGTGACCGTGACCTGCGGGGTTGGCCATACTCATGCACTTTATGTGCCTGAATCAGGCAAGAAAGTTTTTTCATTCTTTCTTTTTCGGGGACAACGGAAAAAATGCGTCCAAATAAATACTGATATTTTTCTTGTCCCTGTGTGAGTCCAATTGGCCTCTCTTTGCGCGCAGGGCCCGGTACAGGTCGCCATGTCGTCACGTGATGGAATTTTGGGTGATCCTCCCGACAATGAATCACAACCACCGGGGGACACGTCGTCAGCGCCACCACGACCAGGGGGCCGCCACCGAAAATCGCTCATGGAACGCGACTTCTCAGCGATTGTTTCTGTAGAGGAGGAAACTTCTACGAATGAAGTTGTTTCCCCCGTCCCTCAAGTTCATGCAATCGGTTCTACTCCGTTCGACACGTCATACCTCTCCGTCCCGACTCGCCGCCGAACGTCAGTGTCACCATCTTCCCCTGGTGTGACCAAGAAAGATACATTTCTCTCAGCTCGCCGGTGGATTCAGCAGTCCCTAATCCCAGATCCGAACGCGCGAATAAGGAAGGCGGATGTTTTCTCCCGCTATGCAGTTTTTGTTGACGAATCGGGAGAGGGTGGAGTCGCCGAGACCACCCTTGGAAAATATATTAAGGAGTTGTTGCCCGACGTTGTCAGTCATCGAACAACTGGAGCAGATGCCCATACATTTTATGAAGGCATGCGGTGGGTCGACTCACCACAATCTGGGGAGGCAGTGCCACATGATTGGGGGGAAGTCTTAAGTCGACTCAAAATGACCACACCCACACTGCGACGAGTTCCAAAAGGGGCGAGAATGGAAGTTGCTCGTGCCCTAACGAAGGTTTTGGAGGAGGTGACCACAACCAAAACCGAAGAATCATGGGGCAAACTATTTCTATTCCCTTACGTAAGCCTTCCCGTTCCCCAGAAGACCGACAAGGTCAAGAATTTGACGACGTGGGTCAAGTCAGGAGTTGCCCGGTGGTTGTTGGAGCAGGCAGCCCCACCGCCACGACTCCCACGACCTCCCGCCAAGCCCCCTCGAGAGATGGAAAATGTGACAAAGAAAGTGGAGGCGAAACTGGCGGATGGTGATATCCGGGGGGCAATTAGACTTGCCTGTTCCGACGACTCGATAGCCCCAAGGAGCCAAGAGACAGTTGATGCGTTTTCCAGTAAGCATCCGCCACACCCGGAACCAACCGCATATCCCGAACCACTAAATAATTCGGAACCACCAACGGTGGACCCTATAGAAATCACCACCGCGATATCAAGCTTTCCGCCTGGGTCAGCGGGGGGCCTTGATTCCCTTCGCCCGCAAATTTTGAAAGACCTTGTCGCCACTGGGCAGGGGGAAGTGGGGGAAAAATTACTTGAGGCTATCGTAAATTTTATAAATGTTGTTCTCAGCGGGAATGTTCCAGTCCCTTTCTGCCCGATTTTCTACGGAGCTTCCCTCACCGCTCTAAAGAAGAAAACTGGCGGGATTCGGCCCGTTGCGGTTGGAAATGTATGGCGCCGCCTTTCCGCTAAAATCGCACTGAAAAGAATGTCCCCCGACCTTGTGGAGTACCTAGCACCCCATCAACTGGGGGTGGGGATAAGGGGGGGTGCCGAGGCGGCGGCACATGCGGCCCGCATCTATTGGGGACACGCCCATACGACATCTAAAGCCTTTTTGAAAGTCGACTTTAACAACGCCTTCAACGAGATTCGGCGGGATACAATTCTCTACATTATTCATGAAAGGTTCCCCTCAATGTTCAGTTTTTTATGGCAGGCTTATTCTTTTCCGTCTCAATTATACTATGGCGACACCCCCATCTCCTCCCGCCGCGGGGCCCAACAAGGGGACCCGTTAGGTCCCGCCCTTTTTGCGCTCGTCGTTCAACCCATCATCCTCGCCGTCGAAACGGAGCTAAACCTGTGGTATTTGGACGATGCCACTATAGCGGACACCCCAGAAAAAGTGTTAGTCGCGCTGGACACCATTATCCGCATGGGCGAGGAAGTTGGTCTTCGCCTGAACACCGCCAAGTCTGAAGTGGGCGTGCTAGGGGCGGACGAACATTCCCGCCTTGAAATTTTGGAGCGTTTTCGTCGGGCAGCACCGGGAATACAGGAGATTTCCCCCGAAGCCGCCGTACTCCTGGGTGCTCCTCTCACCGACGAGTCGATCGAGGCTGTACTGGGGGCGAAGGCCGAACAATTAGCTACACTTGGGGCCCGACTTCTTCACCTCTCCTCCCACTCCGCCTTTTTCCTTCTTCGAGCTTCGGTCTCTACACCGCGTCTCATTTACTTTTTGCGGTGTGCCCCCACTTGGCGGAGATTTGACTCCCTCACCCTCTACGACGCCAAACTTAAGGAGTCCATGGAGGGGATTCTGTTTCCTTTCCCCGCAATCTTGGCTTCAGTCCTCCCTTCCGGTCAGTGAAGGTGGCCTGGGGGTCAGGGGTGCTGTAGACGTGGCGATTCCGTGTTTCCTAGCGTCCGCCTACAGCGCCCTGCCCCTCGTTGAGCGCCTACTTCCGCCATACCTACATGGCACCGACACCGCACAGCAGGAAGGAGAAGAGAGGTGGAACCCCATGGGACCGGCGGAACTCCCCCCGCTCGAAGTTAGGGGTATACAGGCCGCATGGGAGAAGCCTCAACAGGAGGCCGCCATCAAGCACCTCAAGAATAGTGCACCTACACCGGAGGATAAAGCCCGACTCCTTGCTATGGGACAGCCACATGTGGGGGCGTGGCTAAATGCCGTCCCTTCGCCACAACTTGGGACGCTACTCCCCAACGAGACGTTCCGAGTCGCTTGCGCGCTTCGCCTTGGATGCGACGCGTGCCACTCTCATAAATGCCCATGTGGAGCGGAGGTCACAACAAAAGGCTATCATGGCCTAAAGTGTAAGAGGAGCGCGGGTCGTTATTCGCGACAAATGACGTTATTTGGAGAGCGCTCCGATCTGCTGGAGCACCAGCTATCAAAGAGCCACCAGGTTGTTCTCGACAAGACGGGAAGAGGCCGGACGGCCTAACGTTAGTCCCATGGGCGAGAGGGAGGCCCTTGGTTTGGGACTTTACATGTTCGGACACCTTCGCACCATCTTACCTCCCTCAAACCTGCGTTCATCCTGGTGCGGCAGCCGAAAGAGCGGAGGACGCCAAGATTAAGAAATATGAATTCCTTCAGGACAGATTCCTCTTTGTTCCTGTAGCCATTGAAACGATAGGAGTGTGGGGCAAAGAGGGCCTGTCCCTTATCAAAGAAATCGGATCAAGGATCACGATCGTTACGGAGGAGAAGAGGGCAACATCATTTCTCCTCCAGAGGATGAGTATTGCAGTGCAGCCTGGAAATGTGGCTGCTATTTTGGGATCTCTTCCAGCCGGACGAGAGTTGGATGAGATTTTTTACCTTTAGGACAACTACAATTAAAAGAGTTTTTTAAATATTCAGATAGGGACACTTATGTACGGCGCTGGTCGTTTAGCTTTTTCGAAATACATATATGTAAAATGATTTCATGGATATGTGCAAAAATGCAATTAAAAGCTTGAAAAACATTCCAGGATAATTTCGTACTTAACTATGTAATTATTAGTCGTTTTAATTGCATTATAATATTTTGAGTATCTAAATACTTTGAGGTTTGACATAACTTGTATTTTTATTTAAAAGCGTTTAATAAAATTAGAATGACTTGGTTCTCAAATCAATCAATTCAATCAATCATTTTCAATCAATTCTGTCCCACATAAAAAACCGGCTTAACTCCGATTTTCAAAATTTTCTTTCTGCCATAACAATACTTCCCACGCGTGTGACAGCCAACCAAGCAAATCCTTACCCCTTCCAAAGTCCGATTCCTCCTCCCGATCCCAATCTCAACCAGAAATATTATAACACAAACACCCGTGGAGATGATCAACATAATAAACACGCTAAGAATATTGGAATTAAGCTTCTGTCGTAAAAACTTGTCCTCCCACGTAATCCGAACACCCTCACCGGTGTGCAAGTAAACGAAAAAGTTTTCCCAAAACTGGAAAAATCCAGCTTCCATGATTTTTGCAATCCTCCCCCTAAATCCGTCACTTACCCCGCCCATTTTCGGAATTAGTATGTACACCCTACTAGAAAAAATGGTATCATTCCCTTTCAAATACGGTTTCTGATTTAAATGTGATTTTTCTCCTCCCAAGATGTTGAGCAAATATCTTTTCGACTTGATATAAATGAAGGGTGCGACAAATGCTGTTTTGTTGCAGAGGGCGATAATATCCGCAATTTGAGAGCCGCTCACAACCCGCGATAGTTCCGCAATCTTACTAACCTGCACCTTCGAAAAAGCTACCTCAACTTGACGAATGAGATCCTGATTTTCATCAAGGTACACGGCCCAGTCTTCATGCTTTGGACAAAAATATTCCAAATAATGATAATCCACATGAACGCGTGACATGTTCCCCGAGACGGGACAAAGATCACGCGCCATTAGTTTAATAATCGTAGTATTAACTGGTTCTTTTAGAGCTTGCCACCATTCCGAAAAGCGCAAATTTATTTCCGTGTCGAACTCGCTCACTTCGTCTCTCCAATTCGTCATGGTTTGTGGAATGATGTTAAAACGTTTTGTGTAACTAGTGGGAACACTGCTGTCCATTTGAAACCTGTTGCTCGCCAGGTGATCAAACGTTTTTGGCGGGCTGGAAACCAGCGGCGCGGTAGTGTCTTCGGTAACGATACTTTTGTAAATATTTACCACCACGAAAGTCACCAACATCCAGAGCGTAATTTATTTCAGGGAGGCAGAACTGGTAAACATTACGGCCAATGTGGAACCAGACTTCTCAACGAGGATCAGCCCCACCTCCAGGGCCGCGTTGAGGACTACGTGGCATAATTCGTGCCACGTGAGGGGTACGTATTTCGCGTAATTCTGCCCAAACAGAATGATCGTTAGGAAAAGGCAGGAAGCCAATAAAACGTACCAAACGGAGATGTTAAATGGTCTCGCGTAACCCCAATAATCGATCCGATCTTGCCTCATGGATGAACACGTGACAAAGGAGAAAGACCAATTTCCCACAAGGATTCGAGAATTCTCCATGATATCGAATGAATGAAGTGCAAAATCTCTAGGTGGTATTCTTGCCTATATGCTGAACCCGTGTATTTCTTTGGATAGATTTCCGCTATAAGCCAAATAACGCAGCGCGTAATTTAGTCCTTCATGAAGTGACAAGTATTTAATTGTGTCCACAATTCCTAGAAACATTTCTATTTTGCTTTGGAATTTCCGGGTTATCCAGTCCGAATACTCGGCGGCCTGAAGTAATCTTTGACAGGATGCGATTAGGCGGGCCAACCCTGTGTTCTCAGCCAATCTGGCCCCTTTACAAAAAGCGGTGAAATTTCGTTCAATAAGGAAACTGTTGCCTGTGCTTGTTACCAGCTTAAAAAACAAGCAGACTGGGTGACCGAATAGCATATTGATGAAGTATGCCGACACAGTTTGAGTGCGACCCGTATCTCCACAAATTATTACCATGGTGGAATCAAAGTAGGAAAAGTATTTATGACGAGGTCTCATGTCCTAGTCAGCCTCAAAGTCATGGTCCCATTGCAGTGTGTAGAATTCAACGGTTTTATACTCCTGAGATAAGCCGGGCGGGATGATTATCATGAATCTTAAACAGAGATGGTGATGACGGGGTCGAAATATGGGATGGATCGGTTGAACAAGTAGGTTGGCCTGGATTGGGTTCGATCTAAAAAAAACCAAATTGATTTGAAATTCTTCAAATTTTTGAGGATCTATTCGTTAACTCACACATTTTTCTTGTCCAAGGAAATATATTTGCTTAGTTGGTACGGCCTTTGAATATTTGGGGGGACGTGAAAATTTCCAAAGTAAGAAATGCTCAAGTAACAAGATGAAGAAAGTGAGTGCACGTTATCCTCGAAATTTGTAATTTGGTAAATATTTTGAGACAGACAGGTCTGGGTGATGTAAAGGTGCACAATTAGAAGTATTTTACATCGGATGGGATCCATTTTTGGGCGAATGTAGATAATTATATAAAAACGTACTAAGTTTCACAGACTAATACGTAAAGACGTGAAAATATTCACTTACAAATATAGGTGAGTCTTAAGCGAAAGTTGATCATACATTAGCGAATTATTTTATTAATGTATGTATACATAAGTAATGATCATTAAATATTAAAACTTTCACCTGATGAAATCTATATGAATATGGCCTTTATATCAAGGAACACACGATACGTGCAATTTTTACCCCGGTACTTTATTCTACCCTAAAAGAAGTGAAACCGGGACAGGTTGCTACATATATGTATGTATATGTACGTAGATTAGCACTTACGTATTTACGTCTACACGACATTTGATAAGTGTCACGCCATGTTGAGTGTGATTAAAAAATACTTTCTGAAAGATTGTTTGACTGTAATAATCACTAGATATACTAGGAAGGGTGCCAAATAACCATTCATCTTGAATATCTAAGTATTTACTTAAGTATACCAGTTGCCGCGGAAGAAAATTTGGACCGAGGGAACTATAGCAACACAATAGCAGTAAATGAGGGTAATCAATGATGAGGGTAATCAATTGCCTCGGTAATATTTTTATTACCAAAGGTAACAATTGTATAAAAAAATTGTCATTTTCATAAACATAATAATGCATATCTACATAATTTAGTCAAACTCTCAATTTTTTTCAATTAACGCATAGTCAATAATTACTTAACCAGTGATTTATAATTGAATAATTTAGTCTTCATTTAATATGTATTAACAAATGCCACAAATCAATAATCTACTTTTCAATTTTTAAAACATTTATTAAACTTCATTTTGTCCAAATTCGACAAAAGACATGTTTCGAAATATACTCCAGGGATAAATACACCTGTGGGGGGCGATGCTCCAATGAATATTTCCGTTGAAAGAAACTATCCGACGAATCGTGATAACTCTCTAGTTAGCCATCAAAGTCCCCACATGGAGTTTTATTTAGGGTGGTGATTCGTAGGGGGTTGTAAGGCCCTTCACCGTTATGTACCTAATACGGAATGGCGATATCGAAAGGTAATGAAGAGTATCCCTAACTGCCTATCGAAACTCAGTGTACAATCCGCTGACAACGCCCTTGTGGCAACTATCCGCTGAATTGATCCCCTATGGATATAAACCTCTGAATTTGAGCTACAAGCAAAAGGCCGACTGGATATCTTGAAATACTTTTATTAATCGCGTAAAACCGTACAAATACTCATAAAAATAATTACTCTAGACCTATCAGTTCGCTACAACTATTTAAGAAATATTATCACTGTTCAATGTTACGCCGTTGACTTCTCAGTGTAGACTGGCTTCTCCGCGTCCTTGCTGCAGAGAAAAAGGTTGATGATGATGATGACTCTGGCTTGTTCTAGAAGCTTCTCTAAACTTTTAGTCACGTACTCGCTTTCATAATTAGTCAAATAGGCAAATAATAAATTTGTGTGGCATGCAATGCCTAATATCATGAATCATATACATAAATTTACTTTACATTGGAACATTTTAACATATATTCACTTTACGCTGCAACAATACCAAAGACTTCTTGTTCTTGTTCAAAGAACGAGTTTTTTAGTACACATTTTCTAGGAAACTATGTATGTGCTAAAAAGCCATTTGTTTCAGACATTGCCGGCCTCAAATTTTGAAGTTTTCCCTCTGCTGACCAATGGAAAAAAATGATTTTTGTATTTTTGTCACAAAACTCAGACATATACTGGTTGAAGAATATTTCGTCTTTTACAGGAAACATTTTACGAATATTTAATGACATTACGCATGAAGTAATTATCACAATAAACTAAGATTTTTTTACAATTACGGTCGCAGTGAGGTTAACAAAATGCAAATCTTTTTTAATCCTCAACCCATAAAGTTTCCATGACCTGTTCCAACAATTGATTTTCTCCCAGACTTTCAATCTCCTTCTCAATCGCGACCCTTAACCGGGCTAACTTTTCTTTTGTGTAGCGTAGGGCGCCGGAACTGTTCAAAATTTCGAGCACTTCCAGCTTCACTTTTTCCGAGGTGGACCGAGCCCTTAAGAGTTTGATGAGACGATCCTTCACCTCGTCGGGGACCTTGTTGAGCGCATAGATGACCGGGAAGCTTAGCTTGCCTTCGGAAATATCTTCACAAAAGCCTTTCGTGTCGGTATACTCTTGAGAAGTTAGGTTCATAAAGTCGTCGCGAATTTGAAAGTAGACTCCCGCCATGTACGCCAAGTTGGTCAGGTCAACGTCAGGTTTTCCCTTGTGCTTTCGTAGACGCATAATTCTTGCGAGGAGGATGAATTGTCCAGAGGTTTCTGGTAATTAAAAAGTATGTTAATTGTAAGTGTGGAATACAACAATTTATAAAGATGCTTCTTTATGGTATAGTTATGTCGGTCCTTATGTCTGTCTGTCTGTCCGTCGGACTGTTTGTAAGCACGACATCCACATGCCTCAAACTACTTTAACTGAGAGATTGACGTCAAATGTCGAAAGATATGGATAATTGTCCCCTTTAATGTAATTTATGGTAATTTATTGGACTTACTTTTCGCAATGACTTCCACATACTCGTCTTCCGTGGGGATGTACTTTTTAGGGTCATCGTTCGGAGCAAATATTTCCCAGTCTCGCCAGTACAACTCCATTCCTTGACCATGATGCAGATTTAGCAATTCTTCGGTAAAGATTTCGACAGCCTGTTACCAGAAAATATGAGTTATCACCCCAAAATTAAAATTAACGACATTATTGCCTGAAATATTTTTTTAATTCAAAAAATATGGTAATCCGGTTGTTTCAATCTTCCAAAATCAAGAATCATATTACATACTAGTAATTTGGTAATACTAAATTCGCTTCCAAGCTAGAAAAAAGTTAGCAATGTTACCGCTTCTGGTAACAACTCAGACACTACAAATATTACCGTAATAATATAACCATCAACGTGTTGTAATAAATACAGGGTGGCTAGAATCCCACGTTACAATGAAACATTTTTCGACTTATAAATTTGTAGGTTTCCATTAGTTATCGAAATTTTGTCTTTAAAATTGGAGAATAATTAATAAAAATCTCAATCCAAGATCTGGCAACTAATGGAGATTTAGCGGTTTTTGAGATTAAAAAATTTTCCACTGTAGCGTGACATTTCAACCACCCTGTATATTCTTAGTATCCTTACCCTTAAACTGTTTCGCTCCAAGAGGACTTTCAGTGCATCAAAGTAGGCATAATTGGCCGCATTGATCGATAATGGGACCCCGTAGAGCAGATGAGCAGCTGGTTTTCCTCTCCGCAGTTCGGAATTGTCTTGGATATCGTCAATCACCAAGGACCCGTTGTGGAGGAGGTCAATCAGGCGAAAAATCCAGTCCATGTCTGCACAATTTACGCCATACCTGTTCACATTCATTTGTTTAGTAGAAACGGAATAAATACATAATTCATTCATTATGATACATATGAAATAAATAAATTCGTGAATAATTTTTAAAAATTGTTGAAGGAATGAATAATTATTTGTTCACATCATATTCATGAATAATAAATGAATTATTTTAATCTTTTAACATTTTTCACTTTACACTTAGCAGATGGGGAAATTAAGAAAAACGTAATGACGTTAATTTGAGATACAATTATTTTTTTAAATTAACAATGAATAAATATTTATTTTCAAATTTTGAATGAAGGAACAATGAATTAATATGTTTTCCAAGTTTGAATTTGGAATGAATTTTGAATGAAGGAACAGTTTTGAACAGGTATTAAATATTTATTTACACCATACCAATAGTTAAAGGCGACGGCAATATGCCTCCGGAAATTTTTCCCCTTCATCCCCAAAACGTAGGTGAAGGGGGCCAAATGCTTCGCTTTTTGAATTTCCTCCTGTCTTTTAGCTTCTTTCTTCTTCAAATTGTTTCCGTAAATCGAAAGTTTTTCCATTATGGTTTCCATCTTGGAAAGTAATTGGTATGTAACTGCGTCGCGTGGGGCAAATAAAATAACACAAATTCCAGATTGTTCCCGTATTTATACTGGATTCACAAGATTGAGGGCCGAGATTACGTGTACAGTACGTAATTGTTGCATTTTTATTAGAAAATGTGTACGTGCGAAAGTTGCAGGTTTTGTTCGTTGCATATGTTGTATGTAAGCTGTATTGATCAATTAATTGCTTACAAGCGGTTGACACGCATCACATGATTGTAGGTACATATTTATTTACACTCTTAAAAATAGTTTTACCCTTTTGAAAGGTAAATCCACTCTGAGTTCATGTTAAGTAAACTACACAAAATCCAGAGTAACATTAACTTTATAAAGAGGACATCAAGTTTACTCAGGATAGTTTACTTACATATGTAACTGGAAAATGCAGTTTCTATTTTTATGGACTTTTCGAAAAGAGAATATGATTTTTAAGAGTGATTTGTTATGAAATGTCCTCACTTGTATCTATGCATGTATGTATCTCTGACGGTATCTGGGAAGGATACATCCATATATTATGTCATCAAATATACCACGATTTTTAGACCACCCACCCACCCCTACCCTGTCGTAAATTTGAATTTTAAGCTCAAAACGAGTAGAATATTTGGCCCAAAACTATCCACGCTTCTATGTCATGACGTAATATACGTACGTCCGTTGGATTCATCAGTTCCAGATACTATGCACGTAACAGTTACATATGTACAGTACAAATTATGTGAAACAAAAGGAATTAAAATAATAAGAGAAAAGTACTATTCCCCAGTCACTAATTAATAACTACTGGGAATCACTAATTAGTGCTTCCCACGATTCCAAAACACTAAAGGATGTCCCAGAAATAGCGGAATGCCTACAATTTATATACATATGCTGCCCAATACATAAATGTTTGAAATGTTTCACGGGGGGATTTATATACGTACTCACATATTAACTTATGCTAATCTGATTTTTGAAAACTTAAAAATTATCATTACCTTAATGTGCAACATATGCATACTGATGAATTTTTGGTAACATCCATGGTTTTGGCAAACTTATTCACAAACTTTTACTTTATCTTGAAGTAAAATTTGTACTATATACAAAGCTTACATACTTAAACTTTACGGATTTGTGTAAATACACAGATCAACGGCGTCTCTCGTCATTTTTCAAAAGTTTGTAAAACGAACAGATTTTGCGAGTTATCAATGATTGCTGGAATATTTCCTTACTGGAACATTTTATGAAATTTTACAAAGTTTCACGAATTGCATGCCCCCAGTTTTCATCATAAATGAAACTTTATCCGCGTAAATAACGAACCCATAATCATTTTTAAATATCCAGCTACTTACACACATCCCACCAATTCTTGGACATCCTTTAACTATTTCACGGCAGCATTGCCACGTGTAAAAATATAACGAAAATTATGAAACCTGGAACTTGCCTTCCCCGAGCATTGGAGAATTAACACCTTCTCATAGAAGAATGTCAATCACAACTTGTTCCAGTTAAGAACAAGAGTCAGACTTATGTAAATATTTATCTGATCAATCAATTTCCCACGAGGTAAAACCCACACTGATGAACTAGTCATGTGCTTCACAGCGCAACATATGTAACGTACGGTTCCTTCTCAAGTCGGCCACATATTTAAATCGATACAAGCGTTGTTCATTGTGTAATTGTGCATCTTAATTAATAAGATTGTGCTCTAATTATTGCAACACGTGGTGACGTCAAGGTGAGCAATTTCTCAAATTTCTCAAGCAATTATTACTCACTAATAACTTTCCTCCCGACCGACGAGATTTACATAAATAGGTTGCGTGTGACTAAATACGTATTTTACTTTTATAACAAGTTTCAGGAAAAGTTATGTATGTATAATTGCAGGAGCTCCTTCATATTTATAGATATTTATCTATGCATAGTACGCCTCGTCCGCGTGGAGGCCCACATGCAATTTTGTGTCGGAGGCAAGCAATTATGGCCTAATTCGTATGGACTTCCCCAGATTCTCGGCATAATGGACAAAGAACTAAACAATCGAATTCCCAGAGCGCGGCCAATTACTTACGTAGGAAAATCTTTACTTGACCACACCGGCTGGTGACTACATACATGTATGTGGCTCTACCGGATCGTGATTTTTATATTAAAGTAATGAATTTTTTATATGACAGCGATATTTTTGACTAATTTCCCATTGGTGACAAAACGTTTCTATAATCATTACCCAAAAATAGGGCACTATAATATCACCGCGGGGTAACGATATGTCTCGAAATTATTGAGAGTGCGCATTCCCAAATTTTAAGCAGTATGTCTATAGTTAAAACCTCATTTGATTTCAATCAACCTAGCTCTATTTTAATAGTGTGCAACCCCACTCAAATATAAACACCCTAATTTTTTACCTTTACCTCCTCTTCCAATAATAACAAATCTTCTCCGTAATAGCGACCACGATGGAAACAACAATGAAAATACTCCCTGTTACGAATGCAAAAGCAACTTTTCGTATTTTCAAAACTTCGTGTCTAATATGTAAAAATGCAGCATGTTTTAAATTTGGTCTCGTCAGTAGTACCCTCTCGTACGAATTGTACCACAAAGCAGTCAAACCGTGTTCGAACATTTGATTTGTCTTCTTTCTAATAAATCCGCCACCGCGATCCCGCTTAAAAGTCCAAGTGCTAAGTTCATTCGGTACAATTGGTTCCTTTACAAGGTGACATTTCTTCTCTAGTCCGTTCTTCCTGTAAAATATCGTCCTCTTGATGCTGCCCTGGATGCAACTTGGCTTTGTGTTAACGATTGCCATCAAACATCAACATCAAAAAGTTGAAAGACGTCTGAAATTATATAAAGAGTATACCAATTAATGATTTCGATTAATAAGACAGTTTACTGTGCACTCTTAAAAATAGTGTTACCCAATCGAAAATTTAACGCACTCTGAAGTCAACATATATTAAGCTAAACTTAATCAAGGGCAAAGTTAACTTATAAATTGCATTGCCTACTAAAGATTTAGTGTTTTTTGCTTAATGTAGAATTCATAATGCAATTATTTATCGAAGGAATAACACTATTTTTAAAACCGAGTAGAATAATTGTACCCTCTATAGTTACACCATTACTGTGTCTTGTCTTATTTTTGCTTCTCCTTAGTGTTCGGTTTCCACCATATTTTTCGTAGAGTTTGATTATTTTATTAATCACAACGTTAAAATTATTATTATTCTTCTCGGTCATATTTGCTTCAGCCATCTTGTATATGACGCTATCATACTCATTCACTGTATACATGTCACTCCCAATGTTTACTTGCTTCACAAATATGGTGAAAGAGTTGTTAAGTAATTCCTTAAAATTGTTGTAAATCTTGGGCTCGTCTGGCGCAATAACTCTTGCTGTAATATCTGCCTCGTACGGGAACAAGACGGGGATAAAGACGAAGCTAACGATTAAATGCAATGGTTTAAACTTGTTCATTGATTGGCGAAAGAAGATACAAACCACTCTAAAAAATGGATATGCATCGGTTCGCGAGACCAATTTTGTAGCTAGTGCGCAAAAAATGTAGGTAAAGAGTAGACAAATCCATGTGGCAAAGTCAAATGCCCGAAATAGCATGGCAGAGAATGCTGATGGCGTGTACGGATCGGGATCTTTCTCACAATACAAAATATGCAAGGGTTCTTCCCTGATCTTTAGGTACGTGGTAATCAATGGGTTCATATTAGTATGTCGCGTGTTCGGGCCAAACCCGTAGGAAAACATTTTTGGGGTGTAAATCGTGGGAAGGAGGACACCACCTGCTTCCGCTTGTTCCTTTTGAGCAAGATCGTAATTCAGAACGAATGCTAGGGTAAAGTTGAGATATCTTTGAAGATGGAGGAGAACAAGGAATCGTGGAACGATGAAAGTTGGCAATTCGTAGAGTTCAGATAGTTTTGATGGATTAATTGGGGTTGATATATAGAAGTTTCGGTCAACGCTGTCCGGTTCGAAAACCCAAATCCACGTAAGCCCAAAGTTTCCGCTGGGTTGAGGAAGATCTACAGAAAGAATTTGGATAAGAAATAAATTGTGATCAAATTTAAGAACGTGATTGTGACCATTCAAGATGCTTATCGACTTGTGATGACAAACATTGAAGAGTTAAGTAAAATTGTTTTTCCTTATAAACACCGTATTAATCAGATTAATAAAACTAAGGGGGTGCTGCCCGAGGTGAATTGTTTCTAATTATGATTATGATTTACAGTCGAAGCTGCAATTACAAGTTGAAATGATTTCCCTTGCGCACCCTTTCCAGTACCAAAGGTAATTTATTATTATGATTTGCAACTGTGATTGCAAAAAAATATATTACTGGTGATCCATCTATGTTCAGTCATAATGACAATCCGAAAAACTTCTCATTCTCAATCTCTCTAATATTTTCTATTCATAACTAAAGGGCATCCCAGAAGTAAAGTGCAGCTCGGTCAGCCATTGATTTTAAGGGTACGGGCTGGAAAAAATTGATCCGTGATAGCTTATCTTTTAGATAATTTCATGTAGTTTAAGAAACCCTGTCACAGATTTCAGCAAAAAATCTTGTTTACCGATGACATGAGCCAGAATCCAAACATTCGGAAATGTGGATTTTCACTCACACGAAAATTCGTCTCAGTGTGAGCAGAAAAAGACGAATGATCATTTCGCCAGGATAGAAAAACGCAGATTCGTTCTTGACTTAATAATTACAATATGTGAGCTTGCCAGTGACACGAATTACAAACAATTATCACATCGGACGGCCACGCAATCGATGAACATAGATGCGGTGAAAAGTAATGAGCTCTTAAAGAAGGGTCCCGCACTTCCATGACTGCCGCATCCACAAAACAAAAGATATCGACCTCAACAATATGTCGAATTAAACTTCACATCTTTGGCATGAAAGGGTGTGTAAAGCAATCGGCACCGAAAAATGTACGGACCGAGTACCATCGAGCTAAAACAGCATGCAGAAAAATTTCCAA